TGTATGTGAATTTATGTAGATCATGATTCATGAAAGGAGGGGGCTTATTGGTCTTTTTAACGTGCAAATCCAATGGTGAGTTTGATGGATTTTTCATAAAATTGTGGTCTAGAACAAAAATAAAGGAAGAAAAGTGGACATTTGGTGTTGTGGGGTTTACATTTGGGGACCATCCAATAATACAAGTCAAGAAAAGTAGTTTTGGGGATATGTACAGAGTATCTTCTACACGTGTAATGGCTGGCCAAATTATCAAAATATTTCTTGAATTTTCAAAGCTATGCAAATACAAAATCCTACAATTATAATGTTTGTTGATAGTTAATAACCGACCTTAGCTCAGTTGGTAGAGCGGAAGACTGTAGTCTGTGACAGCAAATCTTTAGGTCGCTGGTTCGATTCCGACAAGTCGGATTTTTTATCCTATTTTTATTTTGCAAGAAGTAAAGTTGAAAATTCCTCTCTTTTCTATTCTATCTTCTTTTTTAAGATGATAATGATAACCAAAAAAAAAACCGAGACGATTCGTTGCAATTGGATATGGTCTAAGCACATGTCTTATCTTATTTATCAATTTTCAAACCCCACTTGGCACTTGTTAGGGGAATCCGTGTTGGATTGATATGGATTTTCAATTCCTCCTGTTATCTCTATCCATTTCTTCGTGATTCCTTTGCTTTCTTAGCTTTTAAATTGTTATTATACATTTGTTTTTGTTAACATCTTTCATTGACATCTTGTTGAAACTGAAAATCTATAGGAAATAATTGAGGGTGTTCACAAAGATTACCAATTAAACACAAGTTATCACATAAAATCTATGATTATTGCAACTATCGACTGATATGGGTTCTCATTGTTAATATCAAACTGTTACCAGCATGTACGTAAACCAAACTGTACACAATGAGATTGGGGTTTATAACGTGTGCTGCTGCATCTGAAAGCTTAGGAGCAACAGTAGATGTGAGCTCCACCCAAGACGCCCCGAAAACGCATCTCTTATCAGCATGTTCTGCTGTTGATTGCCGAAAACCTTTAGCTCGCGTTTGGGGCACTGAAAGTACTGGTAACAGATGATGCTGATAAGTCAGTAATTCACATCCCAAATGGCATTGAAGCAATCTTTCCCTATATTACAAATAGCTATGGAATGGATATGCCTCTTGAGTTTCAAAGATCATACCTCGATAAGACAGCCACAACGTTGAATCTTAAAATCCTTTTGTAGACATGCCCGTTTCAATCTTTCGACTGTCTGAGGAAAGGTAGAGCCGCTTTCTAACACCAATGACCGGTTGAGTGCAAACTTCGTCAAATACCAAATGTGTCAGCAACTACCTCATGTGGCCTCTCTCTGAGTCATGAAGCGCCCTGTTGGTGAAGCTTCTGCATGATTCAAATCATCTGTCTAAATCCATGGAGTCCAACCTTCATACATGTTGCAGAGGTTATCAACGCTTGTCGCCTGCTTGATTAGATAATCCACCTGCTCTGGAATGCTAACCTCCCTATTCAAATGGTTATAAAACATGTTGATTTATGTTTTTAATTTATAGTCCTTCACGAGTTTATAGGGAAGCTGATTATCAGCATGTACCTGTTATCGGCAATGCCTCGACCATCGATTTTCATCTCCATGCACTTGAGAACTGACAACGCATAAGCATTTTTCCCTGCAAGTGGTAATTACAAGAAGCCGTATTAGATTCTCAAGATGTGCGATTTCAACTATACATAGCAAGAAACCATGTATGCTTAGGGATCATTGCAAGTTCCTGAGGTCTGATACTAACAAGCTCGGAAAATAAGAACTATGAGTACTCCCAACTAATAAGTTACATGAACTTTCTACCACTCAATTTGCTTGAGGAAATTCAGACATTAAAAATAAATTTTAACCTGTAACTGCGTGACTACTTTTTGAGCCAATTGGAACAATGGGAAATCTAATGTGGTTTCCATAAGTTTCACTTGATAAAGGTAAAGAAATAGAAAGGAAAAAGTATAATTGCTAGCAGTTAGATGGATGGGCTAACCTCTTGTGACTCGAGTTTGTGTCTGTGTTGGAGGAGAAGCCTCATCACTTTGAACCTCAATTTTTCCCTTTACAGCATCTTTACCTCCAGATTTGAGCTCCGGGCTCTCCACCAAAGGCTGTGAGACATCTGCTGTAACCTCTGTAGCTACATCACATGCTGGTAACTTGATCTCAGTATTTTCATCTGGTTCGTCAACTAAAGCTTTTTGGAGACAATCATCACTACCTACTACCACCGCCTCTGCTGATACTTGTTCATCAGAGTCTGAGATGTCACCACAACCGGACTGTGAGGATGAAGTTGAAGATTTTAAAGCATTGGCCTCCTCATTCATTTGGGTTTGTTCTAGCGGTTTGGTTGAATTGTCGAAACTAGCAGGAATGCTTGCTTCGGTGAAGGCTATGTTTGACTCTGATCCACTACTGTACACACTGTCAGGAGAGGACATCCATCCTCTATCCTCCAGAGAGAGCTGGGAAATACTCAAAAGAGCTTGTGAGCTCCTGCTGACAGATTCGAAATGGTTCTCTTCCCCAAGTTCATCCAGTTTAAAGTCATCGTCAGTGAGGTCGGGTCCCGAGTACGAAGTTTCTTGCGATTTTGCTTCCTCACTCTCTCCTTCGAGAGCCTGAATAGAAACATATAAGTTCAGCCAGTCTAATGATGAAACAGCAAAATTCACAAATAACTGAGATGATTAATCTGATGATCTTACTTTGTTTAGGTTGCGAGCATGTACACTTGCAATTTGTGCAAGCCTAGTTAACATTGAATATAGACCCTTCACCGAATATACAGTAGACGGTACCAACGGCCTAAGGTTCTGATAACTCTCTCTAATTTTTGCACCATAAGATTGATATATAGCTTGTCCATGAATGGACGAAACTTCAATGTTTGACTCACTTTCCCTAGTCATAGCTTCAGCAATAAGAGCAACATCCTTTGACAGCACTGAGTCTAGAGGAATAAGGATTGCATTAGCCTGTTCAGACATTCAAGCATTCAGCCATTATTACCTTTGTGAATTACAAGAATAAATGAAAAACAAAAACATGTGAGAAAGCCCTTTGATTTCAAAATTAATACAGCTCAATTTTCAAGGTAGCATGCCATAAACCATAAATATGGAAGTGCAAGATCTAAAAACCTTTGAAAGATCATCCATGAGAGAACGGTGCAAAGTGACTGCCTCCTTTCCCAAACTATTAACATCATGCAGATCCTCTGTTATTGCAAGAACCTACAGTTTATCAAACAAAATATCACATACCCAACATAAAATGCTAGGGATTCATGACATCCAATCTTAAATTCTGCAACCAATAAAAATTTCAAAGCAAATCAGATTTATAGGTCTATCAACTTACAAAACTATAGAATCCCCTAAAGTCTAGCTCAGGACCTCACTGCTAAATTTATTGCATTCTTGAACCAAAGACCATCATTGTTACAAAATCAAGACCTAATCACTATATCCTTTAGTTCTAGAGGCTCACATAAAGCATCAAATATCTGATACTACACTTGGGCTTAAAAACGAACATATTGCAGAAAATATATAGCCAGTGGCGTCAGAAATAGAATTCAGGAGATAAGGAATTCACTTCATAAGTAGGAGAACTTATATATATGGCTCTAATCTCCAACACGTAGAGAAACGATTTGTATTTTATAGTAAAAGCTTTCAGTAGTATACTAACAACAACATATTATGATAAACCAGGTAGTCAGAAAACCTGAAGCTATGATATGCGTTCACAGAAATACCTCTTCGAGCATTGCACCCGTTTCAGTAGTCAAAGCAGTGTGGCCTCTTGATACCCGGCAAAAAGAAGATAATGCAACACTAACTTCATATGTGCAATCTCTCATTGAGAGAATAGTACTTTGCAGATCACCTGTAATAAGATATGTATACGATCAACAAAATGAAGAATACGGCATGGGAACCTGTTGTTTTTTTGAAAAAGGCAGAGATTGTAGTAAAGTAAAGCAAAGACAATACTTAGAAAGTGGGAATACTAGGTCATTAGGATACAAATTATAACCTGACGCAGACGTAGCTTTTAGGGAGGCAATAGAAAGCTCATTTGTGGCAGAATAGAGGCCACTCGAGGCAGCTTCCAAGCTGCTTTGCGCAAGCTTCCATTCTTGTTCAATATCTAAAATAGAGCAACCAGGCAATACAATTATTAGTTTGAAATTACATCTGCAAGATGTACAGACGTCATTGTCTATCAAGATGATTCAAGCACTTACGTGTGAAGGATTGATAAGTAAGCTCCAGTCGTGCAACTAAGTTCAGATAATTTTTCTGCCATGCCCTGGAGTCTTCCCTGATTCTTGCATCACCCTCAAGAGCCTCGCACGAATTGCGAAAATTACCATCTCTTGATGCTTCAAACTCCAGAAGAGACATGCAGATTTTGGCAATGTTTGATGCCTTCTCTCTTGCATCCCAAAGCAACTGCCTGCGTCTCAACAAATGGTCATGAAATTCAGCAGGAATACCGGACATCTTGGCCGATGAATTTCCAGCTGCAGCAGAACTATGTCCACCACAAGCCCATCCCATTGTTCTCTCTAACTGTCCTTCAGCTGCGAGTGAATTTTGTTCGCAAGCTTGTAGTCTTTCTATCGACTTAGTGATTTGGGGAATAGCAGAACGCATTGTTTCCAGCAACTTGGGTCTTTCAAGGTCTAAGAAAATAGAATGTAAGTTATCATCACTGGCAAATAGTTGTTGCAATGTAGTCCTAACATTTTGCGAAACCGTTAACGTGGTGTCGTTCATCCATTCCATTTGGACAATATCGAGGCTTGTTCGGCGAAGAGCATCACTTGTTTCCTTAACTTGTTTTTTCATACGGGATACTGCTGATTTTGCTGCTCT